CTGGAGTTCCTCCAGCTGGCGTGCCAGAGACCCCAGTAGGGAGCAGACTCCACAAGGGGAGGTAGCCATGCTCCCAGGCCTCAGAGCCTGAAAAAGGGACAGGCAGCCCCCTCAGCCGAGAGCCAGGGGCTCTGTCTGCATGGAGCCTGGAACCACGGGCTCCATCTGGGTGGCCGTCTCTGAGGTGCCAGAGGGGGAGGCTGCAGACTCCGAGGGGACCCTCGGGGTGCAGCGCGTGCCCATCCACATGATGCTGCTGGTAGGTCGGCTGCGGCTGGGACTGCCTTCCCTAGGGTGCACTGGGGCCTCGGGCCTTCCTGCTCACCCTCTTGCGCAAACTCCTGTGCTAACTTGCATGCTGGGCCCAGAAGCGCACCTGTTTGTGTGGCCCATTCACGAGGCTCCAGTCATGAAGGAGACTCCTCAAAGGAGTTTTAGTTTGCTGCATCCCAAGTCATTTAAGGTGCATTACACCACCGAATTTCCTACAGCAGCTGGAATTAATGAGCAATACACTGCCAAGGCATGCAAACACTGACACCATTAAAGTGGTGCAAAAGCATTTAGCCTGCTTTAAAGTGTTGTTCACACACATCTCTCATTTTGTCTCAGCATATGCATTTCCATACATACTATTTATTCTTTCATTACTCTTTTCAAACATCCCAGACATACCACAGGCCCTGCATACACACTACTTCTCTTATGCTATATTTAACCTACAAAATCACAAAACAAAATGACTTACACATATGCTAAGCAATGTAAAAATCAAAATAAAGTCTTACCTAAGGCTAAGTTACACAGTTATTTGATCAAACTAAAATGGATATTGGTTATAAAATAATAAGTAACAAAGCAATAAAGGATATTATAAAGGCAATATTAAGAGTATATAAAGACAAATAAACTTTAGCTCAATACCTCCTCCCTCCCCTTTCAACTTACCAGCTGAGGCAGCTCTGCGCACTGCCGGCTCTGCTCCATGCTGCACTGTGGCTGCACGCAGCACAGGCATTTATTGGCCAAATTATCAGCCCCATTGAGCCAATATCCAATATAGACAATTTTCTTTATATCGGTACCAATCCAATATCAAACTGATGTATCGGTGCACCTCTAACTTCAGGTTGCTGCTATCAAGCCTGGTACTCACCAGAGATCATTAGCATCTAAAGATTGTTTACTGGCCCCTGCAAAATGAAATGTGTCATGTTAGGTCAAATGCCCATGGGCAGATGTCTTTGTTCCCATCAGAGCCGCACACATTTGTGCAGCATAAGCAAACAGATCAAAACTGAATGGACTATGGACTCTCATCACCTTCTGAGGTTTCTCTGCAGGTTGTGGCTGAGTCAGGTTGACAGGGAGCTGATACACATTAAATTACATGTAAAGTTGAAATCAGTCCTCATGCTAGCTTATTAACTGTGAAATTATAAAATAGCTTCCTTTTATGCATGAAACAAAACTTTGCAGGTCACCTTGTAAGCTCACTGAGGAGCAGCAGGCATTCTCTGAGCCTGGGGTTGGGTTCGTCACCTGGTGTCTACAACAGGCAGCTATTCATGTTTGGGTGTGGATCACTGCAGAACAATGTGGATCACTGCAGATCCACTCATCTGTGGATCACTGCAGAACAATGTTTTCTGAATACTCATTATCCTATCATCACAAAACATGGAGCTGCTGTCACCAGGCTTTAGTACATTGCTTGGCAATAATGATGTCCTGAAGATATTACAAAAGAGGGAAATACGACTAGATGCATCAAATGAAAGGGAGAAAAATATCACTTTTTTGATACTATATCATATGCTGATGGTTTTGAGTCAGATACCTTGCCTTGCGGCTATGGAATCTTTTCCATATGAGAAGTCTTAGCCTAGCTGTTTTGATAAATCCCAACAAAGGTAATGACATGCTGCATCCCTAAATTTCTTCCACAGTTCCTGCCAGATGTGGAACATTTAACTTTCCTACTTCCCTATATGAAAGAGTGGTGATTCCTGAGCTGGGTGACATTATTTTACCAAAACTTTTATTAGAGAAAAATGCAGCAGTGATGACAACAAAACATTTTTTGAACTTGTGCCAGCCTCATCAAACTGTTCATTTAACAATAATGAAAAGCATTGTAGAACAAATTAACAGCTTTGTTTCAATATTTTTAACTGAGTCATTTCAATTATTAGATTCTAAATAATTCATTTTGAAGTTGTTTTTGTTGTTGTTGTTAGAATTGAAACTAAACATTTCACCTGTGTCAAGCAAAATGGTTTTGAAATAGTTTAGTTTATTTAAAATGTATTTGCTGAAAATTTCAAAAAAGAAAAAAATGTTTTCAAATTGCTACAAACCTCCCCTTTTTGTAATTTTCCAGAATTGACCCCTAACTCAAATATCTGTTATTTGTCCATCTCTAATGATTACATTTCAATAGTGGGTGAATGATCTTTCTACATACAGGCTCCTTCAGAATGAGAGTTCCAAATATGTTAGCATCGTTATAAACTAACCTTCTCCTGTTCCACCATGTATTTCATTTGGGGGCCACTTCTGTTCTCCAAGGCAATGCTTTTTCACCTCTGACCCAGCAAGTCCCTTCTTACACAAGCACATTTCTTATATACACACTTGTATCCTACACATGAGAAAGGGACTTGGGTAAGGCACAATGGTTATGTCTTCATATCCCCAGTGTGTCCAAAGAGGGCTACGCTTGAGCATTTGTAGCCCACCTACTTCTACTTACAAACATCAGTCCTGGAAATGAAGAAATGAAACCATTCTGAGGGTCATCCTTCACGTTTGCTGTCAACATACCTGCAACTGAAGGCTCAAGTCTGACTCCTGGGGTGTTCCCAGGGTGGCTCCCCCAATGCATTTCCAAGTTTGGCACATGAAGGGAGCAAGTGGTTTGAGAACATACTCAAGAGTGACCCACTACGAGGATGTAGGGTCGGGGTGTAGACATACCAATGATTCCCAAGTCATTTGTATACCTTCATAAATGTACTGGGACAGCACTTATTTAAATTAATTTACTGATGTTGTAACATGTACACATGCAAGAAGCTTGAAAATTTACAACTGAACTACTTAATCAGGACCACATGGACCCTTGCAAGCTGGTTCCATGCTCTCTGTATGCTCCAGAATGCCTCACAGTTCAGACTGAATGGGATTCTCTCACTTTTGTGAGAACCTGCAAGCACTTTACCAAGAACCAAGTAAGATACTAACATTTCATAGACTCAGTAGATTTTTCACAAGAAGACATGGTCCATTTGCTGATGTGCTACCTCCAGCTGAAACCAGTGAACTAGAGAAAAAAGAAAAACCTTCTCCAGAAAGCAGCTGTCTGCACAGCTTCATGAAGCATGGAGACTGAAATTCCTCCCTGATTTTCACATCTGTAAACATGAGCTGTGAAACAGGAGATTTGATTTTCTTAGTTATCTTAAATTGCAAGATAAGAGTGGGCCAGAGCCATCACTTGCCTACATGAATGCAACTCTTACTTTCTTACGCCAACCATAAATATAGCTATCAGTAATTAGCTTTTACCAATATTCTTAATTAATTGAGCTACTTTCAGTCCTGGCATCAGCTTCTCTTTCTGCACAGACAGTTTCTCCTATGCAGCTTATTAGCATATGGTACAGTTCTTTGCATTGTTACTCTATTGCCAATGGCAGGTGGAGATGCGTTTCAAGTCTTCCTAGCAAGCTGACTGCACAGCTGATGCTGGCAATAGATGTTTTCTGTCATCAGGCCAACCTTCCTCTGTTGGAAGTTGGGGAAAACTTGATGCAAGTGAAGAGCATCCCTTTCCAATCCACTTACAGGGCACAGTGAATGTAGGGAACCAAGCCCGGCAGTCTTAATAGTAGCAGGAATTCATGGCTTGAGATCCAAATGGCAGAAATATTCAGCTTTAAAAACATTTATTGATGACTGCTATGTCAGGGACTGAGGAATGTTTGCTAGCTGTACTCTGGTGAGAGATGAGGGCCCAAGTCAGTCACACCAACATATCCATGTGATCTGACCGCACTCTCTTGTCTCATTTTGTTTCCACAGGTGTTACCACAGTCCTCACCATGACCACCCTCAGCATCAGCGCCAGAAACTCCTTACCAAAAGTGGCGTATGCGACGGCCATGGACTGGTTCATAGCCGTCTGTTACGCCTTTGTGTTTTCTGCGCTGATCGAATTTGCTACAGTCAACTACTTCACCAAACGCAGCTGGGCCTGGGATGGCAAAAAGGTACTGGAGGCCCAGGAGATGAAGGTGAGCCTAGCAGGCAAGGCCAGAGAGCCAGTGAGGGACAGGACAAAGAACCACCACACAAGAGAGCTGCATTGGGACCAGGAGTGGGTAACATACAGCCCGCCACACTCCAGTAGGCTGGATGGTATTCACTGGGGTCATCAATCCAGGTCTTGACTGGAGTGGTTCTTGGGGCTGGGAGGTGGAAGGGCTTGTGCAACTTTTTCTGTATTGCATGTGGGGAATGAAACCCTATGGTGTTCAAGATCTGATGGATTCTCCATTTGTCCCTGTGTATGTCTGTCTGCATGTATGTCTATAGCCTCCTGTCTCCAGCTTGGTCTGTTGGTGGTTGTGTCTATTGGTCTTGCTGTGTGGTTTTCTCTGTCACTTCTTTTGTTCACTGTCTGCTGTGTGAGAACTTAAATTTGCTGATCCATATTGCTTTTAGGGGTGTGTGAAATGGGCCATATTCAATTTGGATTCAGCCTGAATCAGGGACAGTGATTCAATTTGTTGATTCAGATCACTGTCCCCGATTCAATTCAGCCAAATCCAAATCTGTAGATTCGATACTGACTTAGAGAATCAGCGATTCGGCCATAGACACAGCTTTAAATGTTTTTTGTATATACCTTGAGGTACCAAGCATGGCTCATGATGGTGGGGTGAATGGAGCATCACACAGGAGCATGGGGGATCCCCCACGTGCTCGATGGCAAACCCAGAAGTGGACCAGAAGTACTTCTGGTCCACTGGGGAGTGCGTGGGCGGGGGGGCTCCTGTGCCGTCCCAGCTCGGCGATCGGCCATGGGGGGACCCCAGGTGCCCCCCCACAGACCCAGGAGGCACCAGTCACTGAGTCGGGGAGGCATGGGAGAACCCACTGCACGCTCCCCAGCAGACCTGGAAGTGGCTCAGAAGTGCTTCTGGTCCACTTCTGAGTCTGTTCCTGAGCATGCTGGGGAGCCCCCTGCACTCCTGTGGGACGCTCCATCCACCCCAGCATCTCAGCGTTCATGATCCATCTAGTACCTTGAGGTATGTAGAAAAAATATTTAAAGCTTTGTCTATATTCAAATCATCGAATCTTTCCAAATCGATTCAGAGGGTTCCGATTCGATTTGGAGAGATTAAAGGATCTCCTGATTTGATTCAGATTCGGAGATTTGGCCACCGAATTGGGCCAAATCTCCACCAAATCGAATCAGGGACCAAAGCTTCACATGGCCCTAGTTGCTTTCCTGCTATTTCAGCACAAAGCCCGAAGCTTGTTGGGCTTGTGACCTCACTAAAAAAGAGTGTCCACCAACATTGCTCTCCTTGCTTCCTTGCTGTAGATGGCAGCAAGTGCTCTATGCTTTCTCTCCCAGCTATGGAACAGGTGTGACAAAGGGGACGTGATCTTAATGTGTACTCCATGTTACCCTCAGCTGTCATCGGCTGTTGTTTTGCAGGCTGAGGGAAAATGAGTGGAAGTAGCAATTGGCAAAAAATTAGTGCCTGGTGCCACCCACATTGTCCCTTCTGGCTTCATATCAGCTTTTCTGACAGCTTCCTGCATGGCAAACATTGCTAGCCTTGGTTTGCACCCTTCACTGTTCTAATCTGAGCTGCTCAGAGTAATCGCTTGCTGTAGCATGCTGCTTTCTTGTTTGTATTTATTGAATCAATTTCAAAATCAGCTTTGTCCTTGTTCTTGGGTATGAAGCACCTTTTTATTTGCATTTTAATATGCTGCTCAGAACTGTTAAGGGACTATGTGCAAATATCTTGCATTGTTACAGCACAATTTGGAAGGACAGTATTTAATGAATCTGCCTGATGGTGGCAGAGCCACAGCATTTAACACAGGGTCAAAGTCTGAGAGTGGGTACAGCGTAAAGAACAGGGCCTGTTATCATCCATGCTATACTAATCACAACTTAGTGCTTCTCATGTCTCTGCCCTATCTATTCAGGTTCTTCTGTAATGGTATAGATTAGGTCTGTGCTCAGAGATGGCCATGAAGAATGGTTCTGCAGAGCCAACTGACACCACAATTCACTTGGACATAACAGGGCAAAATTTGGCCTCTAGAGCAATGATTCTTAACCAAAGTACAACAGCACCCTGGAGTGCCTTGAGATGCATTGTTCACAGCACTGTTAATGTGCAAACATTATTCATTAGATAAACCCAGGGATTTCAAACAGGAATCTATTGTGTTAAAAACATTCTGACTTGTTGTGGTCTTTGCAACAGTAGAATTACTCTATTATTTTTCTGTAGTCAAAAAATGGGTGAAAACTAGGAGCTGATATTTTATGGAGGAGGTGCATCAAGTCTCTCATGGGTTCCTTGAGTTTATTGAGGGGTGTCTCAAGTCTAAAAAGGTTGAGAACCACTGGTCAAGATATTATAGGCTAATCTAATTGATATCAGCTGGAGTCTGGTCAGGACCTAAATCCCTTGGGTTATATATTATATATTGATGGGCAAAACAGCCTAGATAAAATAAAAACCAATTCAGTCAAGTCCTTCACTTCTCTCCACTTCAAAACAAGCTCCATCTAAGGAATGCCAGAGGTTCAAAAAACTCAGTTAACTTTAAAAAAAAGTTTAAATCTTTAGTGCCCCAACCCTAGTAAAACTAAAGCTGCACAAATGGCATGAAGACACCATGAAGAAAACTTGTTCTTGCAGGTGTATAATGGGAATCTGGCAATATCCGCTTTGTCACAAAGGAAGCACTTCCTGTGAGATTTGCATCTTAAATGTGCAGACCTAAGAGGGTCAGATTAGTCTCCAAATTCCTTCTAGGTGTATCCATGTCTTATTGCAGACTAAGAAAGTTGACTGGATTCCTATCTCTCTGCTGGGCACTTTATAGTCACTTGTCCCCAGGTCTTGCAGCATCCATTTTAAGAAAGATCCAAGGAAAGCAACTGGGTTGGGGGACTTAGAAATGGGGTACATTGCCCGATGTAGTCTTCATTTTTATGCCACTGATCTGTTTCCAGGCAGAGTACTTGGAGCAAATGAAAGGTTGTCCACTGAGTCAGTTTCAGCCTTTAATTAGCTCTTCTTGAAATAATTGAGGAGGAAGATGGTAGAAGCTGTTAAAACCTGATCCAAGAATGCATATTGGCAATTTATAATGTACTTGAGCAAGAAGTAAAACTATGACTCCAAACTGGGACTTCATCTCTGGACAGCTGTCTTTATGACTGAAGTTCTGCTATTTCTGCTACAGTAATGACTGTTTTGTAGTCACTGGGGGCACTTGTACATGTGATGATGTTACCATGTACACATGATGAAAATTTTCCTATGTGGCTTAATGGTGTCACACTTCACATGTACATGAGTTTTGGGGGTTTTAAACGAATTTGTATCATCACAAACTAAATCACATGCTGATGTAGTTTAGTTTGCAAAGTTGCAACTTGGAACATTGCAGCCATTAATCTGTCAGCTTGCCCCTTGGGCACAGGAGAGGTGGGTAGGTTCTGCTGAGAAAAGGATTGGGGCCCTCGCCACTTCTGCCTTCAGCAAGCACCTGTGGCTGCCAGGACACCTGAAGCCACCCAGGAATGGGCTGGCATGCCCCTAGGGCAGTATGAGGAGCTGCCCAGAGAAGGTAGCAGAGACAGTCTGTGGGGTGCTAGAAGCCTGAGCAGGCTTGAGAAGAATTGGATCGGGCACCTCTGACCTGGAGCAGCACCCGGCCCACTAGCAGTCCACCCAGCCAGCCCCGAGGCACTCTGCCACCATCGAGAGAAAGACCAGGGCCTCCCACAGCTCAGGGGCTACACAGCCCACCAGCAGCTTGCCCTCCAGCCACAGGAGAGGCAGGAGACTCCACCAAAAAATTTTAAAAATGATCGGGCCCCTCACCACTTCTGCCTTCAGCAGGCACCTCCAGCTGCCAGGACAATGACCTATATACAGTGATGGAAAAATAAAACCCACCATTTCAATTAAAAACTCACTGTTTCAATTTAGGGGGCATCGAATGCAACCCTGAAGGACTAAACCCCTGTCGTGTACAAGTGCCCTACTACTATAGTGCATGACTTTCTGTACTGATGAGAGAGGCTAGACTGGTAGCCCTGAATTTTGAAGTTCTCTTTAGGTACAGCACGGGTATGTTCTGAACTAGGCTGTCCCTATCCCTATAGTAGAACTACTACCGAGAGTCCAAGAGCAAGCAGAAGAATCACCTCCAGCACAGGAAATTTGTTTGAGAGCAGGGACTTAGAATTTTTTGGAAAAAGAAAAAAAAATCTCTAGTAAAATTTTTGAAGGCAGCAACAATCAGAGAGAAGAAAGAAGCTGAGGTGTTTATGAAAAAAATACTTTTGGAGACAAGCTTTAAAAGCTTGCAACTAGACCTGACTTGACTGGAAGAGTCTTAGCACTGGAGAACATGTGGCTTTCATCTATGAGGAGCCTTTTCATTAGATTCTGAAGATGCCTATTTGGGGATCCTGCTGCTGGAGTCTGAACATGCCATGTTTGAGACAGTACTCACAATGAGAACATGTAGGCTGTCTTAGCATCAACTCTGACTACACTTCAATCCCAAGGAACTAGCTGCAATGGGGTTGTCAACCCTAGGTACCATACAGGCCACCATCAAGGTGATTTTTGCACCTGAATCCAGAAAAACCACCTGCAGTCATGCCTTTTCTGCTGGAATCTGGAAAAGCCACCAAACCTTTGAGAATAACATCTATCCATTACTGTTCTGCGAAAGACCAATGCCCTTCCCTCAGAACGGGGTGCTCTCCTTCAAGCTTCCAACTGAAGCGTGTCTGTTCTTTCAGTGGCACAGTTGTTCATATAAGCAAGAGTCAGTGCTTGCTTCTACCTTTTGCTTGCACAGTAGTCTCCTGAATTTCTGGAAAATAATACACAGCTAAGATAGCTGCATTCACACATGTGGAAACATAGCATTGTCCATTTCCTTTGGAAGACGGAGAAGCTCACTTTCTTATTCTCCCACCTATTTCCTCCAGGCAAACATCACCAAAGAA